GTCATAAAAATTATAAATAGTGATCGAATGAATTGATGAAAGTGATTTATCCCCTTTCCTGGCTGCCAATGTCTTAGGGGAAAAGAAACTGTGGGAGTATAGGAGGACACAGGTAGAATGATAAAGCATCCTGTGCACAATCAGCACAAACAACTCCAGATGGCATTATCTGCAGGCCAGCAGCAACAAAAAGTAAACCTTAAGGGAAAGATGATACATGAGGCTAAGTTCTCAAACGGATATTGAGAAAGAGTATGTAATACCACCTTAATGTACTAGTTAGGTAAATGAATTGATGAAAGTGATTTATCCCCTTTCCTGGCTGCCAATGTCTTAGGGGAAAAGAAACTGTGGGAGTATAGGAGGACACAGGTAGAATGATAAAGCATCCTGTGCACAATCAGCACAAACAACTCCAGATGGCATTATCTGCAGGCCAGCAGCAACAAAAAGTAAACCTTAAGGGAAAGATGATACATGAGGCTAAGTTCTCAAACGGATATTGAGAAAGAGTATGTAATACCACCTTAATGTACTAGTTAGGTAAATGAAATGTTCATTTGGGATGAAGGACCCAACACAAATTGGAAGTCAGAGAGCACTGGAGACTCAAATAATATTAGTCTTGAGTAGCTAAAGGCTGCCTTACATAAGGCAATTGTGGAAGATGCAACACCCCTTTCAATGAGCCAGGTCAAAAAACAAGCTATGGTTGGCACTGCTGGTCAAAGTGGGTTCAACCTCCTCTCAATACAGCATTGCCGATATGTGTGCCATTTATGTTAATAAATGTCCATCGTGGGACAAAACAAAGACTGAGACAGATACAAGGCGACCTTAGAAGTTCAATCCCAACGGCATGAGAAGGACTGCATAAACTCCATGCATGAATTTTGAGCTTCAGGATGGCTGGGTGTACGATGTCAGATCATGGCTGCCTCAACAGAGATGGCCAAAGAAGTGGAAGAGGTGGACACTCCTGAAAGTATCACAGAAGCAGAAACCAGGGCTTAGCTGCCAATCTGGTGCTATCAACAGAAGCCAAAAATGGGTTGGAACAAATCATAGCTAGTACCTTGGGTGTCATATGAATTGTAGGGAAGGCCTAGGGGTGTAATCCTGTCCCATCCTAATGGAATGCATCTGTTGCTAATGCCCAAGAGTGAGGTATCAGAGACCAAAATGCCAGTAGTTGGGTGTTCCAATGAGTGGCCAACACATCAATCATAAGTGTTTAGAACTGAGAGCAAATTCAACAGAAAACTTTGCAATGCAGCATCCATTCTGTCAGAAAAATCTATGTGGGTCAAAACAATTGTAGGGTGACATGATAGGAGTGGTCCCAAGAAAGAAGATCCGAGGTTCAAAAACAGAGAGACTTGGACTAAATGCCCCCCTTAATGGGAATTGTAAGACCCCATTGTGGATTTGTCGAAGAGAAACCTGACATTTTTCCCTTTAATAAGTCCAGACCATGAGACATCACCCTTTCAACAGTAAGAAGTTCTAAAATATTGTATATGGAAGCCTCGTCATCTGGATTTCCCAACCATTGAGATATGTTCCCCATCCCTGAAGCAAGTGGGGAATAAAAGTCTGGACAAGTAAGAAAAATTCAGACCAATGCTTAGATGGACAGTCAAGTAACAGCTGTAGTGTGAGAGAAGGTAAGAATGTTTTGGAAAACATATTTCTTGTCTAAAAAAATATTTTGCCACAAATTGTTTTAAAGGTAATCTGAAAATTACCTCCTTGGCAAATGATATTGACAAAATTAAATCATACAGTTATCATTGTTTGTTTTTAAAATATGCAGTAATCCCATACTAATCTTCTGTACTTAAAATAAGTTAATAATTAAATAATTAAAACATTTTACTATCATTGATAAGAGTAACAGTGTATTTATTTCACCATCACAATTTCAATTAGAAATAATTATGTAGCCAGTTTAATTATGTTTGTTGGTTGAATAGGATAAACAACAAAATAATAATAATAATAAAATTCAGCAATCAGGATATTCTGCAATTACCTACCATACTCAATGAATAGTAAATTTAACTAAACTTATCTCATTTAATAATAATTAAATCTGATGTATATAATAAAAACCTCATACATACAAATATTGTAACTAGTAAAACTATAGTATGTTTATTAAAAAGTAAAAACACCACAATTTTAAACAAAGAACTAAACATCAACAAGACACCTTTATTAACCAGATGACTACTGGTACTAACTTTCTTAGGAGGCAATGCAAGTGTGCATTTGTGAATTGAAAAAATGATAGAGAACTTATCTTTTAATGGATTTCTGATTTTATTTTTTATAAATAGTAGCATAACATTCAACTATATGTACAAAATTGTATTCTTTAATGAAGTTTAAAGAGGAATTTAATGAAAAATTCCTAAAATACGTTTTAGACTGCAAATAAGAATCCTCTAAGAAGAAATGTTTTTTTTAAAAAATTTTTTTACGATATTTCC